TTCAAACTGTATTGGACCAGATTCTGATCTCAGCCCCACCGATGTAATAAATCCAGAGTTAATTCCATTGAATGCAGCAGGACTTACTCCCGATTCACACCGGTGTGGGCCCTATGAATCCATCTAGACCCATGGTTTGTACTGTGTAATCCACAAAGGGAATGAAACCAGGTGGGGAATCACAGAGGAGATGGGAAATAGCATGGGCCAGGGGTCTCTTCGCAGGGGTGAAGGGCAAGCGTCCCCAGATGGACAGTTTGGTTAATTCCTGCCACCATCTTGGCACATTGCTCTTCAGAAGTTTCTTGGTGGGCCAAGAATACAAATTATCCCCCGGTGAGGGCGGCGGGGGGGGGGGGGGGGGGGGGGGGGGGGGTTTGCAGTGGTAACCAGGAAGCAGAGCGGGTGAGCCCCACTGCAGAGGAGGAAGCTGCTTCTTCCCCCCATTTTAATGCGAACCTTGAATCTGCCTGATCTGAAAGGTTTAGAGAGAGAAAGAAATGTTTGGGGGGGAAAAGCAGCAGCAGCAAATACTGAACTAAACAGATTTCCAAGAGCCGGGATTCTGTGGTGCGTCAGCGCCACCAACTGGACAATTTAGATCACAGCAATCGATAGCTAGGGCATAAAAGGGTACGCTCAGTCGCCAGGAGAGCGATTTTGTGGTGTTGTGTGGAGAGGCCCGGATTCACGCCCACTGAAGTCAGTGGGAGCTTTCCCATCAACTGCAAGGGGCGGTAGATCAGACTCTGAGGCCATGTCTACGCTACCATGTCAGCAAAACGTATGTCGTTCAGGGGTGTGAACATTCCACCCCCCCACGTCACGTAAATGAGGCCAGCGTAAGCGCTAGTGTGCACAGCACCATGTCAACAGGAGAGCTTCTCCCGCCGACATAGCTTCTGCCACTCGGCCTAGAGCGTCTTCACCACACGCGCTGGTACAGCGCGGCTACGCCACTGCCGCACGGTACGCAGAGATGTGCCCTTGATTACCCGGGTGATAGGCGCTAGAGAAAAACCTACGGCGGAGGGATTGAGGGGTGGGTTGGCTCTTTAGGGAAATGGATGGCAGATTCGTTTCCCCACCATCAATAGCTAACACAGTCGAAGTTTTAAAATCTGTTGTAACAAGATTAGTAATAATGAGATGTGGAAACTTGTTTACTCCACGCTGAAAAGCTGGAGGATCTAGCGATCTAGAATAAAACAAGCCTTCTAGGGCTCACGATCCAACCACTCTGCCCCGCTGACTTCCCCATAGGGCATGGGGTAGAAGAAGTTAACTCTTTGGAGACTGAAAATCCATACCACTACTGACCAGTTACTTGGATTAAAATATTTTCCTGCTACTCCAACAAGAAACTGCAGAACTGGAATTAATTTGCAAACTGGACACCATCAAATTAGGCCTGAATAAAGACTGGGAGTGGATGGGCCACTACAAAAAGTAATTTTCCCTCTGCTGATACTCACACCGTCTTGTCAACTGTTGGAAATGGCCACCTTGATTGCATTGGCCTGGTTAGCGCTACAAAAGTAATTTTCCCTCCCTTGGCATTCACCCCTTCTCGTCAATTGTTGAGAATAGGCCACTTCCAACTTAAATGAATTGGCTCGTTAGCATTGACCCCCCACTTGGTAAGGCAACTCCCATCTTTTCATGTGCTAGCATATATATTCTGCTTACTGTTTTTTTCACTCTATGCATCCGATGAAATGGGTTTTAGCCCACGAAAGCTTATGCCCGAATAAATTTGTTAGTCTCTAAGGTGCCACAAGGACTCCTCGTTGTTTGAGCAAATACCGTAGTTTTTATACAGCAGCCACAAATTTACGATTGCAATTGTATGGGGGGGTTGCTTGTGATGGTGGAGCGCAGGGCTCACTTCTGATTTATGTCTTATATTCTCCTAAAGCTCATGCTTCAGGGTTTCAGCCAGACACTGGCAGGGGTCAGGAAGGGATATTTCCTGCCCCCCCCCAAACACACTGTATTCTGGGAAAGCTTTTAAAATCACCTTCCTCTGAAGCATCAGGGATGGCCATGGCTGGATATGGGATATTGGGCAGGGTGAGTCAGGGCTCTGAGGTGGCACCGAACATCCTCTCTCAGCTGCTTGGCTGGCTGGACCTGCACAGGGTCTAACTGATTGCCATACATGGGAATGGGAAGGAATTTGCCCCCAGGTCAGACTGGCAGTGACCTTGGGGGATTTCACCTTCCTCTGCAGTGTTTGGGTGTGGGTCACTTCCCAGAATTATCTGGGTTTCTCTCTCATGTAATCAACTCCCTGCCATTGCAGGGGACTCAAGCACTGGTGCACCGCGCTCCCTCCTACTCTCTGCCTGTGGCACATAATGATCTAATCCAGTCTCCTAGGGGCTGTAATATTTTCATCTCATTTCAATTGTTGGGTTTAGCATACAAGTGCCAGAGGGCGTTCATGGCCTAAGACATACAGAAGGTCAAACCAGACGATCTAGCGAGCCCTTTAATTCTATCACATCAGAATGAATCATGGATTCATTGGAGGTTCTAATCACTTAAGCAGAATAAAAAGAGGTCCGAATTACTCGGATGGTGTCAGGGCTGGGTGAGTCTATCAGGACTGGAGCCCTCTACGCAAAAGCCTCAGTTGTTACTGCAGGAAGTAGGGCTGGTTGATTCAGTCATGGTTTTATTCTTTCCTTTGAGTCGGCAATGAAACAAGGCCTCAGCATGATGCTAGGAGAGGTGCTGTAAACCGGAAATGCTGTTTATCAAGTGAGATGAGCCAGCCCCCTGTCCATTAACAATCACATGGAACTTCATGTAACAGCAGTTTTGATTGCTAGCTTTAGATGCTGGCCATGGTCCAGATCACCTCCCCTTGGAGTTTTGATTGGATACAGTGGTCTTCAGTTGATCCTAAACTGTGCTCTGGAATTGTGCACTGCACCTCATAGGTTCAACCTCATGGGTCGCTGAATTTTAGTAGGGGGCAAAGTGATCACTGGATCATGGAAGAGATTTGAGGCTTGCTGGGTGAAAGGAGGTTTTAAACAGTCACTTACTATTACTTTACTTCTTTGAACAAATTTGTATTTCTGAAAGCGACAATTTAAACTATTATGATTGACAGCAATTGCTTGATGCTTTTGAACACCAGCCATGAGGACTTTTTGTGATCCCTGCCCATCCAGGTCACCAAAAGGAAATATACCTTTGTTTGCCAATAATTATTCAGAGATTCCAACAGCTAGTTTTGCTCACCCTGTGCCTTTAGAACTCTCTGGCTGGCTGTGCATGGCTACCACAGGGGTTGATTTAAAATTTAAGCTCATTACGGGTTTGTTAATTGTTTCCTCAAGCACTACACACAATTATACTGTCACTTAGAAAGCTCCAATAAGGGGGGGGGGGGGGGGGAAGTCAGTGTCATATAGATATGTAATCTGTGGCATTCTGCCCAACTGCATGAAAGGTTAGTTAGAGAAGAACTCCTCCTAGTGGAAGATTGTGTCACTGCAGTCAATTTTCCCTTTCCTTGTTTATATCTGTACATTTCCTTTAATTATACTAATAACTTACAGTATAGTTGGAGTGAAACCTGGATATGTATTATAAGAAAAGAGTGGAACACGTAACTGGAGTATCTTACAACTTCCACCTACCTAAAGTCTTTGAAGAAGTGTGCAAATTATAATTATACCACAAGATACTTTTAATCCGTTTTTTCAGAATACACGTAAATCTTACTAATTACCAAAAGTACTAGAAATGTTTACTATCTTTATTATACACAGAAGAACAACAGTAAGTAGATCTAAGATTGGAAATGTGTTGAAAATCATTAGTATCATTAAAGAAAGTGTAAGGAGAAAAAATGAAAAGAAATATATATAAAAGAAGTATTTGACAATTCCTTAACTGTGTATTTCCCACATTTTAAGGCTTTTTAAAATTTGATTACAGCTGCCTTACCTGAAAGGAGTTTTCCCCATTAATTTAAAATAAGATATTTCAACCAAGCCCCCTGATTTCATGAAGTATTAATTATTTTCCTATGACTAATATACAGGCAAAGGCATTGCTCTTATTATGCAACTGTACTATAAACTCAATTAGCAGAACCCTTGATTCCTAAAATGTAACTGGATAGACTCATTGGTTGAATGGAAAGTTTGACGAGAAAAAATAAAATGCATGTTTGATTAAAAATAAATAGTTTATTTCAAGGTTATTTATCAAAGAGATCTCACTTTTGTTTTGTTTGTATTATATGGATACACGACCCACAAAAACTTCATTCCATGGGACGGTCAAAGTCCATACACTTTGGCAGACTGCTGAAGTTTGCTTATGATACTGTTCCGGGCAGCTCTTAATGCTAGCCAAATCCACACCCCTTTGGAACTGTCCATCAGATATCACTTACAAACAGCTAGGAATCATAGAATCATAATTTATCAGGGTTGGAAGGGACCTCAGGAGGTCATCTACTCCAACTCTCTGCTCAAAGCAGGACCTAATCCCAACTAAATCATCCCAGTCAGGGCTTTGTCAAGCCTGACCTTAAAAACCTCTAAGGAAGGATATTCCATCACCTCCCTAGGTAACCCATTCCAGTGCTTCACCACCCTCCTAGTGAAATTTTTTTTCCTAATATCCAACCTAAACCTCCCCCACTGCAACTTGAGACCATTACTCCTTGTTCTGTCATCTGGTACCACTGAGAACAGTCTAGATCCATCCTCTTTGGAACCCCCTTTCAGGTAGTTGAAAGCAGTTATCAAATCCCCCCTCATTCTTCTCTTCTGCAGACTAAACAATCCCAGTTCCCTCAGCCTCTCCTCATAACTCATGTGCTCCAGCCCCCTAATCATTTTTGTTGCCCTCCGCTGGACTCTTTCCAATTTTTCCACATCCTTCTTGTAGTGTGGGGCCCAAAACTGGACACAGTACTCCAGATGAGGCCTCACCAATGTCGAATAGAGGGGAACGATCACGTCCCTCGATCTGCTGGCAATGCCCCTACTTATACAGCCCAAAATGCTGTTAGCCTTCTTGGAAGCGCAGTCATAAAACAGAACTATAGAAAATATTATATGAGGGACGAAACGGATTCTCACATGTGATAAATGGAAGTGTATTTTTGTTCCCTTGGGAATAGGCAAATGCACGGTCTTTCCATGAAATAACCTGTTCTAGTGTATGTACAAAGAACTTATATGGCACTTTTTATCTTCAAAAGCACTTTACCCGAGCACCCCAAGAGATAGGTCACAATTATCATCCTCGTTCTGTAGATGGAGAAACTGAGGCAGAGAGGGGTGAGAGGAATCAGCGCGAGATCTGAGATGCAGATTCAGAAGCTCCTGGCTCCCAGTTCTATGCTCAGACCATTACCTCTCTCTCTCCTCCTCTGCCTGGGTGCAGGATGATGTTTTCATCAGGCACAGGGCTGCCCTTTCTCAGAGTTTCTTCTGAGTCAATCGGTTTGATTTAAAAAGCAAGAGACTCCTGTCCCAGCTTGTGCTACCAAAGCAGCACACCAGTTCCATGGCACCGTCCTCGGTTAAGATCTGGGTTATCCTCTCTGCCATGTCCCCATTGATGGCAAGAGAGCGGAAGTGGTCAAAATCATTCCTACCCAGCTTCCGGAGGCGCCGGGCGGCTGCTCTGTAACACTTCCACGGCTGGGGTTCAATAAGCAGGTAGTTGCACCGAGACGAAAGGTAGGATAAGAACTCCACCAGGCCATCATCCCCGTGGTTCAGGTGGATCCACATGGTCACTGACATACAAAAGCCGATGTCAAAGGTGGAACGGCTGAACCTGCTCAGATAGGAGCTCAAGAACAACTCCCGGGCGCCAGCATCCATGACATCCAGGGTGGCGTAGCAGATGGAGCCAGGAAAGGGACTGCATCGCTCAGCTCTCTCGATCAGTGCTGCGTCGATGTCGCAGCACAGGAGGTTCAGGATCTTTCCAACAACCGGCTGATCAGGGCTGGCCTCATTCTCCTGAAGACCAAGGAGGTGTCTGTAGAGAGCAATGCTTAGCTCCTGCAGAAGGAAAAACAGCATGGATTCATTCAGCATGCCCTGCTCAGTAACATATCACCAAGGTATATGGGGCCACTGAGATACAAGGATCAGGTCTCAGATTTTTCTTGAGGTTTCGAAGTCCGGCAGAGTAGGGCAACCCACTGATGGATTCATCGTTTCTGGAACCAGGACAAAAAAAATGTCACAGCACCTTCCATTTGAAGATCTCTAAGGGCTTTCAAAGATGTTCGTTATTCAAGCCTCACAACCTCCCTATGTGTTATCCCCATTTTAGAGGCATTAAAGCGACAATCAGGTTCATGCAGCAAGGACCTAACCCAATGCCCATTTCATTCAATTGGAGTCTTTCCATTGACTCTACTGGGTTTTGAATCACGCCTCAAGTCAGCAGCAGAGCCAGGAACAGAAGGCAGGTCCCTTGACACCCAGGATCCTGCCTTGACTACTATGGGGAAAGATTAGTTCTGCCAATATACATCTTGCTGAATACCCCCTTCCCTTGGAGAGGTGAATGCTATATTTGGCTCTCTAGATAAGCCTCAGAGGACTCTAATAACCTGAATAGAGATTTAGAAGGCCATATTGATAATAATGCACTTCCTCCTCCTAATTACTTATGGAAAAATAGTTATAAAGCCATAAGATAGGTACTGTCAGGGCTTTCCCTTCCATTTCCTTTTTCAGGCTGTTCCATTGAATAGGAAAATGTGTCTCCTACCATCAAAGTTGCAGGTGAAATTCCCGAATAACATGATACCAAGGAATAAACACAGCTGTGTTCATCTCTAGCGTGCAAGTAAAAAGAGTATTAGGTTATGTAGGGATACGGTGCCCTCTAGTGGTCAAACATTTCCTCTTTGGCTTCTGTATTTTAGACCAGAGGTTCTCAACCAGGGGTCCAGGCCCGCCCCTGAGCAGGTTTCAGGGGGTCCACGATGCAGGGCCGGTGTTAGACTCGCTGGGGCCCAGGGCAGAAAGCAAAAGCCATGCGGCGCGGTGCTGAAGCCTGGAGCTCTGAGCCCTGCCACCCGGGACTGAAGCCGAAGCCTGAGCAACTTAGCTTTGCAGGGCCCCCTGAGGCGTGAGACCCGATGTAATTGCCCTGCTTACTACTCACCAATGCTAGCTCTGGCTTTTATATGCAGAAAAATAGTTGTGGCAGCACAGGTGGGCCGTGGAGTTTTTATAGCACATCAGGGGGCCTCAGAAAGAAAAGTTGAGAACCCCTGTTTTAGACTCTGTGGCCTTATGATCAGATGTTTAGTTGATCTCTTGAAAGCTCATCTGAAATGAGGTCTAGAATCACTCACTTATCACTCAGATAATGCAAGGAGATTAAGAACAACCATAACAAATGATAAAACAAATGCATCCAAAAGAGAATGCAAAGTAGTACTTTTACTCAAATGCATTTTTTTAAATATAGTTCTCAGTCTAATAAAGTCCTCTTTATCTGCAAAAGCCATTTTTAAAGCCATGTCCAACTTATACACTGGATCATTTCTCTATGCACTAAAGAATCACAGCCACTTCTGGAGTAGAATGCACCACGTCTACACACAGTTCACAGCAAAAATATATATCAGACAAAGAATATTCCAGGTAAAATACAGGGGGAATTTAGAGACATAGAATGTAGGTAGGAGCCTTGAAATTCTGCCTAAACACCAACCTTATGAAAATTACCATGAGATTTTAAAATAACCATAGGTGGTCAGGACTAGAGCTGTCATTTCATTTCATCCCAAAACATTTTGTTTCAACGTTCAGGCATTAGGGCAAAAGAAAGGAAAACTGGATTCGCAAAACTAGATTCCGATGGTTCCCGGCCAATGGGAGCTGCGGAGTCAGCGCTCGGGGCAGCGGGGAGAGGCACCACGCAGAAAACCCTTGGCCAGCCCCGTGCCTAGGAGCCGGACATGGCGGCTGCTTCCAGGACCCAGGTGGAGCCAGGCAGGTAGGGAGCCTGCCTTAGCCCTGCTGCACTGCCGACCGGACTTTGGCCTATTAAAATCTCCTGGATAAGTTTCAATAGCCACCAGGAGATCAAGGCCGATTCCGGAAGACTCCCGGCCAATCCAAGAGGGTTGGCAACCCTAATGCTACCCCAGGATCTTCCCCTCTGCCATGCTAGTCCCATCCACTGCCCCTTCCCCATGTTACCCCCAGGTCTTCCCTCCCCCATGTTACTACCTGGGCACTGCCCCACCATGCTCCCCCCCACCCCTGTGCTACCCCCAGTCCACTGCCCCCCATGCTTCCCCCTGGTCTTCCCTCCCCCATGTTACCCCCAGTCCACTGCCCCCCTTGTTTCCCCCAGATCTTCCCTTCCCCATGTTACCCCCTGGGCACTGCCCCACCATACTCCCCCCCACCTCCGTGCTACCCCCAATCCACTGCCCCCCATGCTTCCCCCTGGTCTTCCCTCCCCCATGTTACCCCCAGTCCACTGCCCCCCTTGTTTCCCCCAGGTCTTCCCTTCCTCATGTTACCCCCTGGGCACTGCCCCACCATGCTCCCCCCCACCTCCGTGCTACCCCCAGTCCACTGCCCCCCATGTTTCCCCCCCATGTTACCCCCTGGGCACTGCCCCCTTGCTTCCCGCTGGTCTTCCCTCCCCCATGTTACTGCCTGGGCACTGCCCTACCATGCTCTCCCCGCCCCACACACCACCTCCATACTACCCCCAGTCCACTGCCCCCTTGCTTCCCCCTGGTCTTCCCTCCCCCATGTTACCCCAGCCTGCCCCCCAAGCTATCCCGCCCCCCTTCCCTCACATCTCCCCCCATCCCATGTTACCGTGACCCTAGTGTCCCCCGCCCCGGGCGGCCTCTTACCCCCGAGTTGCAGCCGACGTCCAGCCCCAGCAGTGGGGAGGGCCCCGCGGGGAAGAGCCGCCCCAGCAGCGCCGGCGGCAGGAGACGGACGCGGCCCTCGGGCGGGTGGAAGCGGGAGTAATTGGGGAAGTTCCCGTAAGGGGCCGCCCCGGGCTCGGAGCCGCTGGGCATCCCCTCGGCCCTTTCCCTCCTGGGGGCCGCCATCTTGTCCGGTCCTTCGGCTCAGCCGCCCGGCAAGCTACCAAGCGCCGATGCTTTTCTGGCCGGGGGCAGAAAGGTTCCGTGTGGCGGAGCTGCGCGTGCGCGAGCTGAGACGCTGGGGCGGGGAGGCTGAGAGGCAAGCGCCACAGAACCCTGTGCAGCAGCAATTGGGTTCCCCCCCAATGCACGTCCCTGGGGGTTGTGCTGCTCAAATGGGAAATTTAGGCCCTATGATGTCCAGGTTTTGGTCTCTTTATAGGACTTCCTGCCAGCCCTGCCATGGGTTATTATTGTTTCTATTCCTGTAGGGCTTACAAAACCCAAGGGAGAGCAGTAGGGTGACCAGACAGCAAGTGTGAAAAATCAGGACAGGGGGCGGGGGGTAATAGGTGCCTATAGAAGACAAAGCCCCAAATATCAGGACTGTCCCTGTAAAATCAGGACATCTGGCCACCCTAGAGAGCAGGGTCTCACTGTGTGAAGCACTCATAGACCTTAAAAAAGCAACAAAGAGTCCTGTGGCACCTTAAAGAGTAACAGATGTATTGGAGCATGAGCTTTCATGGGTGAATACCCACTTCGTCAGACGCATGTAATGGAAATTACATAGACCTTATTTACACCTGGTCTTATTCCGGACTAATGTTGCTAATTGGTTACTCCATTCTTATTCCCAGAATAAAAATGCCTTATTATAAATTAGCGTAATCCACTTGGATTAAACTAATTTGGGACAAGGCACTCTTATTCCAGAATAATGGTGTCCACACAGAGTTAACAAGGAATAGTTAATCTACTTTAAATTCACATGCTATCTTATTCTGGATTAGCTTTCTGTGTAGACAAACCCATAATAAGAGACAGTCCCAGCTCCAAAGAGCTTATATTCTAAATAGATCAGACAGACAAAGGGAAGGGAAAGTAAGAGTTTGTCTACACCTGAAAGTTCATTTTAAATTTAAATTAAGAGAGGGTATGAACAGAATCAATAGAGCCAGGAACACCTTCAGGAGCTTAAATACAGTCTGGAAATCATCAAAATACAACACCAAAACCAAACTCAAGATTTATCAGAGGTGTATACTTTCAACACTACTTTATAGCGCAGAATGCTGGGGCATGACAATGTATGACATGTCCAACCTGTCTTCATTCCATACAACCTGCCTCAGAAAACAGCCTCTGTATCTTTTGGCCCAGAACAAGCTCAAACCGAGACCTATTCGCACCGTACCGCCAAGCAGAGATGAGCAACATCGTTACCAGGAGGCGTTGGAGATGGATTGCCAATGTGCTTTGGATAGAAACGGATTGCATCACCAGAATAGCAATAAGAGGGACACCTGAAGGCAAGTGAAAACAAGGCCGCCCGAAAACATGGCGAAGAGCTGTGGAAGCGGAGCTGAAAAACCCGGGGCACAGCTGGGGGACCATTGAAAGACGTGCCAGAAACAGACAGGAGTGGAGGAGCTTCGTCGCTGCCCTAAACGCCAGAGGCATAATGGGCACTAGCTATGAAGTTAAAGCACAATAGCTATTCCTGAAGAACTCCGTGTTCCAGAATAAGAGTGCCCGCACATGATGTTACTGATGCCAAGTGTAGACAAGCCCTAAGGCGTGGAGTAGGGGAGTGACCGGTCATAGCAAGTCAGTGCTAGAATCCACCTTCCGTCAGCTTATTAACAGGACACTGCTTAAGTAGACAATGAGGTCCAAGGACGTGGATAGAGCCTGCATAGGCGCAAACTTCTCCTGGTGCCGGTGGGTGCTCACGCCCCCTGCCCCAACTCCACCCCTGCCCCGCCCCCATTCCAACCTCTTCCCCAAAGTCCCCGCCCCAACTTTGCCCCCTCCCTGCCCCATTGGACCCCTTCCCCAAATCCCCAGCTCGGATCCACCTCCTCCCCTGAGCGCACCCCGTTCCCACTCCTCCCCCCTCCCTCCCACAGCTTGTTACGCCGCGAAACAGCTGTTTCGCGATGGCAAGTCTGGGAGGAGAAGTGGGGACATAGCACGCTCAGGGGAGGAGGCAGAGGTGAGCTGGGGGGGTGGGGAGGGGAGCTTGGCTGCCGGTGGGTGCAGAGCACCCTCCAACCCCGGAGCACCCACGGAGTCAGCGCCTATGGGTAAAGGTGGCAATGAGTAGAGCTATGGAAGCTGGAGTTAGGAGGAAATGACACCCTGTACATTTTGCAGTGGTAAAACCCCCTCACGTCACCCCAGCCCACTTCCTCTCTCCCAGTCCCAGTAAAATTTTCACCCCCAAGCTGTACAGGTTCAGATGAAAAAAAAAAAAAAAAGTAAAGCAGTTACTAATGTACATGGTGTTTGAAATGATCCGTAAATGAATCATTATGCTTTGGCATTCAGGGTTATGACCCACAAATGAGAGTGTATAAACATGCCCGCATGGTGGCGCTGAAAGTTAAAAATAAAAGTGCTAATAGAGCTGTCTGTCCATCAGCAAAGTATTATATACAGTGGTTGTCAGTAAGAGCTTTAAAACCAATGCTTTGCAAAGTTGGGGTCCAAAATGAAGCACATACATCCATATTTAGGCACCTAAATTAGGGTTACCATACGTCCGGTTTTTCCCGGGCATGTCCGGCATTTTGGTAATCAAACCCCCGTCCGGGGGGAATTGCCAAAAAG